TTATTTTTTTAAAAAAAAGAACCATCCTGAACTCCAGTTCCAGGGGAATTCGAAGCCCTCTTCTGACCTCCGCAGCATTGCACTACATGGGTGCACTCACATACATGCAGGCAATACACTCATACACATAAAATAAAAATAATAAATTTTAAAAAGTGTTTCTGTCAGGTAATTTATCCCATATGTTGCTTTTGAACTTAACCTTTTCATTTCCTTTATTTACTGTCTGTTTTATAAACTCTTCATATACCATATAAACACTGGGCACAAAACAGTCAGTGAATATCAAGAAACAAAGGTCCTTTGTTTTCATTTTAAAAACCTTAAAAATGGACTTTTTAAATATAACAAAAATTAAGCTCATCAGTAGCAAATGACTTCTTTCTAAGTTTTATGAAACACAAATAATTGACCATGGGTCGCTAATATTTTACCTTGGAAAATCATCCAAACCTTAGACTGAAATTCATAAAATTTCTCTGATATTTATAGGTTTTGCTCTGATGCTATTTAGTGACTAGTGAGCTATGTAAACTCACTTTAGCCTGAAAAATACCTTCGATCACCTTAAATAACAATTTGTTATATAAGAATTTCAGTCAATTTCCTGTTTTTGGACATTGGCCTTTGAAAATGTTTCTTATTTCAAAACTTTCAGTGTGTGTGTTCATGTATGCTACAGAGAATGGAAGTTAAAGGGAGCACAGGTCTTCAGGAGAGCTGGGGCTGGTGCCTAGTAAATGACAAGAACAATGAAAAGCCTGTCTAAAGGCAGAAAGCTGGGCAGGACAAACAACCTATCCCTCACTTTCTAAGCAGAAACGTAGGTCTTTACTTAACTATCTATTCTGTAATTGTAGGGACACTGTCCAGTAACTCACTTCCTTCATCCATGCATCTTCCAGCAGAGATAGCAAAGCTCTGAGAGCTGAGGTGACTTTGCTCAAGGTCATATGTTAAATGATGCTAAAACTGGAATGAGAACAGAATCTTCTTATTCCATTCAAGACTGTTTTAGCAACACCATATGCTTTCTCTGTCAAGTGATTATTTAAATAAATCAAAATGAGTATCTATCTCTTGATAAATTGAAAATATTCTTAAACGTGTATGGTCTACTACAATAAAAGACATTGTGAATACCTTTTAATGATTGAAAAAAGAATTTAATTCTTTAAAAATGTTCCTTACTGCAGGAATACATGATGAATCTATAAATAGGGCAATATAAAATATTTTCAACTCTAAGTCTTCACACCGTGTTCATTCCCCCAATCTAGCGATTCCTAGCACTTGGCAACACAGATTCTTTTAGAACTGGATGAGAGTTGTGAAAATTCTCCCAAGAAAAGCATATTTGCAGGCAAAATTTAGCATGTATATCAGAAAATTTGTTGATTTCTCACAAAACTCACCCATTGAAACAAAAATGTTAACAACTCTACCTTAATAAGTGCATTATCACTGGGAAAGAGACTCACCAGGTACCTGGAATCACTAGTAATATTCATTGATGATAGAAAACCAGGAAACCTTTCATAATTGGTTCCAATGTGGAAAGCTTTTAGGATTTACATGATAGGTGGACGTGGAAAGGCCTCGGGCTTATTACAAAGAAAACACCCATGGGTCTTTGAAAAAGAATCTAAATAAGATAAATCAATGATAACTTCTGAATAGAGACCATTTAAAGAGGAATATTGACATGTAGACTTATGGGAGAATTTTATTCATTATCATTAGAAATGATTCCCTACCTACCTGGATTCCAACTGCTATCCTCCTTAGTTTCAAAGAAGTGTGATATGGGAGTTTCCAGCCATAAATAGACTCTATTCCCCCCTGGAGCTTGACTCCTACTATTGGATTAGAAGAGAATCTAGTAAATAGAAAATTAATTTTTTTCATGTCACCTAAAAGTAAAGCTACAATCACTGGGTTCTCATTTCTCCCTTTCTTGTGGAACTTATCCTTGTTTTTTCTTCCAAATCTCATAAATTTCCTGGTAAGCAATAGAATAAAGTGGATTTTGATCCATGTAAGCAGTGTCTTTTAGCCTCAAAGTACAGAGGTATGTGTTGATACATGTAGATGTCCACTGATAGAGGGGCTTGCATGAGAAGCAATGCAATTTTGTCATTAGACTGGATACAAGGAACAAATGTGTGGCCCTGGAGCAGCAGGGGGAGATGACTTCATACCTGGGAGTCTTTATTCTGGGTTAAGACTGAGTTGTGGGGGCTGGGGAGATGGCTTGGTAAAGAGCACTGGCTGCTCTTGCAGAGGACTCAGGTTCAATTGTGAGCTCTCCTTTGATGGCTAACAACCCTCTGTAACTCCACTTCCAAGGGATCAGACACCCTCTTCTGACCTCTGCTTGCACTGCATGAGATGGGTGCACCTACTTACATGCAGGCAATACACTCATACACATCAAATAAAAATAATTTAAAAATAAAATATTAAAAAGACTGAGTTGTGCTGAAGCCCAAACCCCAAATGTCAGAATGAGTCAAGATTTAACGAAGCCAAGTAGTGTCCGTTATCAGGCAACGAGAATGGACCAGGTAGAAGGCAATAATTTGAATAAAAGCATGATGATAATGGTGATAGAAGAAGAGGCAGAAGAGGATGAGTTGAGATTAATAATGTTAATTTTCATTCTACTGACAGCTTATAAGGCACATTAACATTGTCTTACTTGTTATAAGAAAGGATCAGGCCGGGATGTGATTTCCCCAAACAAGGACACCATTTCTTAGCTAAGAAATGATGGTTGAGGGTAAATTCCAACAAGAAAACTGTGAGAAAAGAGAGTGTTTGTGCTTGATTTATGTGCTTCAATTAAAGCAGCGCTTGTATGGGTTGACAACTGCAATTTGTCCATAGAGAGCTCAAGACTATTTACTAATGTCCTTTAAATGCATGTTTAGCTCTTGTGTCCTCTGTATTTGGTTTCTCCCAATAGCTAATCCATCTGCTTCTTATCTTTCAAGAAATCCTCTGTTTTATAATAGGATTCATGTTTTCCAATGCACTTGCTGTTTCATTCATATATGTATATAATATAGATATGGATATAGAAACATAGATG